CAAAGTAGACATTATAGAAACGGGAAAAGTAGATAACCAACCTTCCCGGAAAAGCAGATATTTCCCCATTTTCTGTGATACAAATTTCCCGTTTTCTATGATAATCTACTTCTGAAAATTAGGTAAAATTTCTCAAAAAGTCGATAATCTACTTCCCCAAAAAGTCGATAATCTACTTTCCCGAAAAGTAGATAATCTACTTTTCGGGAAAGTAGATAACCAACTTTCCCGGAAAGTAGATTATTTCCCATTTTCTATGATTCAAATTTCCCGTTTTCTTTGATAAGTAGATAACCAACTTTCCCAGAAAGTAGATATTTCCCATTTTCTGTGATACAAATTTCCCGTTTTCTATGATAATCTACTTCTGAAAATTAGGTAATATTTCTCAAAAAGTCGATAATTTACTTCCCCAAAAAGTCAATAATCTACTTTCCCGAAAAGTAGATAATCTACTTTTCAGGAAAGTAGATAACCAACTTTCCCGGAAAGTAGATTATTTCCCATTTTCTATGATACAAATTTCCCGTTTTCTATGACAAGTAGATAACCAACTTTCCCAGAAAGTAGATATTTCCCATTCTCTGTGATACAAATTTCCCGTTTTCTATGATAATCTACTTCTGAAAAATAGGTAATTTTTCTCAAAAAGTCGATAATTTACTTCCCCAAAAAGTCAATAATCTACTTTCCCGAAAAGTAGATAATCTACTTTTCAGGAAAGTAGATAACCAACTTTCCCGGAAAGTAGATTATTTCCCATTTTCTATGATACAAATTTCCCGTTTTCTATGATAAGTAGATAACCAACTTTCCCAGAAAGTAGATATTTCCCATTCTCTGTGATACAAATTTCCCGTTTTCTATGATAATCTACTTCTGAAAATTAGGTAATATTTCTCAAAAAGTCGATAATTTACTTCCCCAAAAAGTCAATAATCTACTTTCCCGAAAAGTAGATAATCTACCTTTCGGGAAAGTAGATAACCAACTTTCCCGGAAAGTAGATTATTTCCCATTTTCTATGATACAAATTTCCCGTTTTCTATGATAAGTAGATAACCAACTTTCCCAGAAAGTAGATATTTCCCATTTTCTGTGATACAAATTTCCCGTTTTCTATGATAATCTACTTCTGAAAATTAGGTAATATTTCTCAAAAAGTCGATAATTTACTTCCCCAAAAAGTCAATAATCTACTTTCCCGAAAAGTAGATAATCTACCTTTCGGGAAAGTAGATAACCAACTTTCCCGGAAAGTAGATTATTTCCCATTTTCTATGATACAAATTTCCCGTTTTCTATGATAAGTAGATAACCAACTTTCCCAGAAAGTAGATATTTCCCATTTTCTGTGATACAAATTTCCCGTTTTCTATGATAATCTACTTCTGAAAATTAGGTAATATTTCTCAAAAAGTCGATAATGTACTTCCCCAAAAAGTCGATAATCTACTTTCCCGAAAAGTAGATAATCTACTTTTCGGGAAAGTAGATAACCAACTTTACCAGAAAGTAGATATTTCCCACTTTCTATGATACAACTTCCCCGTTTTCTATGATAAGTAGAAAACCAACTTTCCCAGAAAGTATAGATAACCAACTTTCCCAGAAAGTAGAAATATTCCACATTTTTTGTAATACAAATTTCCCGTTTTCTATGATAATCTACTTTGGAAAACATGTTAATACTGTAGCGTACTGTAATGTGGCCAGTAGTCAATTCTCTTTAGATGTCTATTTTCTCTTTGTATGGCCACACAAACGTACGTACATGTAGATATCTCACACTCAGGAATGAGGTAGAATAAAAACTCACAATGCGTTTTCGGTATATATACTGTTGTACAGAGCAGTGCTAAGGAGTTACTAGGTGAGGAGTAGCTTGCTCTGAGTTCCTGTAGGGCGAGGAGCTCTCTGAGGAAGCTGGGTGGTGAGGTGCTGGAGAGAGATCTTGCTGGTCCAGCAGGTCAGAGTAGAATGGTCTCCCTGGCCAGCCATGGCCATATTTAATATACAATTTACGAAGATCAAGATTTGGGGTGAGCTTAGTGAGAGGGCCAATCACAGAGGAGGAGGCCAGGCACACCCGGCACTCTGGTCCTAGCGTGTGCGTCCGCACTGGAGAGTAGGTCTCCCGGCATCGCTGGCTGTACGCTGATTGGCTGGTAGGCGCGTGGGAGCTCAGTCGTCACTTGTAGGGGATGGGGTCCACTACAATACTCCCCTTCCCCTCCGGGCGTGGCGGGAGGCTGGAGGTTGACAGGGTTGTGTCCCACAAGGGACACATAACGGGCAGGTGTACGTACCACTCGACCACTACGGGTGACGACTCCGTCTAGTGACACAAAACCTGTGGGAGAATCAGGGGGAGGAGGATTTTGGATTAGAGGAGGTTGTAAAGGCAATGGTTGTTGTGCTCCTGTCACAGCAGGGGCAACGTCACTGGCTGGGCAGACTGGGTCATGGGCAGGGGCCATGGCAGCAACAGGGTCCACGACAACAGCAGGGTGCAGGACAGGAGCAGTGGGTACCTGAGGGTGGAAAGGGGGTGCCCAGAAATGTTGTGGGCAGGGTCTGGCTGGGTTGACTGGGTCAGGAGCCGGGGCCATGTCAGGAGGAGGGTCCATGACAGCAACAGGGTCCACGCCGGCAGCAGGGTCCACGTCAGGAGGAGGGTCCACGACAGGAGCAGTAGGTACCTGAGGGTGGAAATAGGGTGCCCAGAAATGTCGTGGGTGGGGTCTGGCTGGGTCAGGAGGATGGTCCATGACAGTGGCAGGGGGTACTGCTGAGGCGGGGGCGGCATCTGAGGCGTCGATAATTTACTCCCAAAGTCGATAATCTACTTTCCGAAAAGTAGATAATCTACTTTTCGGAAAGTAGATAACCAACTTTACCAGAAAGTAGATATTTCCCTATTCTATGATACAACTTCCCGTTTTCTATGATAAGTAGATAACCAACTTTCCCAGAAAGTAGAAATATTCCACATTTTTTGTAATACAAATTTCCTGTTTCTATGATAATCTACTTTGGAAAACATGTTAATACTGTAGCGCATCGTAATGTAGTAGTCAATTCTCTTTAGATGTCTATTTTCTCTTTGTATGGCCACACAAACGTACGTACATGTAGATATCTCACACTCAGGAATGAGGTAGAATAGAAACTCACAATGCGTTTTCGGTATATATACTGTTGTACAGAGCAGTGCTAAGGAGTTACTAGGTGAGGAGTAGCTTGCTCTGAGTTCCTGTAGGGCGAGGAGCTCTCTGAGGAAGCTGGGTGGTGAGGTGCTGGAGAGAGATCTTGCTGGTCCAGCAGGTCAGAGTAGAATGGTGTCCCTGGCCAGCCATGGCCATATTTAATATACAATTTACGAAGATCAAGATTTGGGGTGAGCGTAGTGAGAGGGCCAATCACAAAGGAGGAGGCCAGGCACACCCGGCACTCTGGTCCTAGCGTGTGCGTCCGCACTGGAGAGTAGGTCTACCAGCATCGCTGGCTGTACGCTGATTGGCTGGTAGGCGCGTGGGAGCTCAGTCGTCACTTGTAGAGGATGGGGTCCACTACAATACATCCCAAAAAGTCGATCTTCTACTTCCAAGAAAAGTGGAAAATCTACTTTCTCAAAAAGTAGATAATCTACTTTCCAGGAAAGTAGATAACCAACTTTCCCGGAAAGTAGATATTTCCCATTTTCTATGATACAAATTTCCCGTTTTCTATGATAATCTACTATGGAAAATATGTTAATATCTCCTAAAAGGTCGATAATCTACTTCCACGAAAAGTGGAAAATCTACTTTCCCGAAAAGTAGATTATCTACTTTTCGGGAAAGTAGATAACCAACTTTCCCGGAAAGTAGATATTTCCCATTTTCTATGATAAGTAGATAACCAACTTTCCCAGAAAGTAGAAATATTTCACATTTTCTGTGATACAAATTTCCCGTTTTCTATGATAATCTACTTTGGAAAATATGTTAATATCTCCCAAAAAGGCGATAATCTACTTCCACGAAAAGTTGAAAATCTACTTTCTCGAAAAGTAGATAATCTACTTTTCAGGAAAGTAGATAACCAACTTTCCCAGAAAGTAGAAATATTTCACATTTTCTGTGATACAAATTTCCCGTTTTCTATGATGATCTACTTTGGAAAACATGTTAATATCTCCTAAAAGGTCGATAATCTACTTCCACGAGAGAGGGAGGGGTGGTATGTGGAGGGATGGAGACGTGGTATGTGGAGGGAGCGAGACGTGGTATGTGGAGGGGAGGGAGGGGTGGTATGTGGAGGGAGGGAGAGGTGGTATGTGGGAGGGCAGTGGGTATGGAGGGGGTGTTATGTGGAGGAGGGTGTTATGTGGAGGAGGGGAGGAGGGAGGGTGGTATGTGGAGAGTAGAGGGTGGTATGTGTGGGAGAGGAAGTTGATATGTGGAGGGAGGGTGGTGTGTGTGGAGAGAGGGTGTTATGTGGGAGAGGAGGTGGTATGTGGAGGAGGAGCAGTGGTATGTGTGGAGGGAGGGAAAGGTGGTATGTGGAGGAGGAGAGGGTGAATGTGGGGGTGGGAAAGAGAGGTGGTGGTATGTGGTGGGGGAGGGAGGGGTGGTATGTGGAGGGAGGGTAGGGAGGGGTTGTATGTGGAGGGAGGGAGGGATGGTATGTTGGAGGGAGTACCTATACCGAGATTTTGAACAAAATCTATTTTTTTGGACGAAATGCCAAAATCGTAAGGCTTACACCTTTGTAATTTTTCGACCAAAATATACTTTTCTCTCACAATTGAAATTTAAGGGGTTTATCTAATTAAGTACTTACAGAATAACACATTAACACTAAAATCGCACTTTAGAAACCCATAGTCGGCGAGTAATTAGCATTCAAACATGACATTAAATTTTCCGAGGTGTATAGAGGGACTTTACCATCTATACACTTTACCTGTACATTGGGAAATACAGTATAAGGGATTTGAAGAAAAAACAAAGGAAAATATTTTGTTTATTTTATTTTGTGCAAATTATAGGAAAGACAATGTAGTCAGAGACAATACTCCAGTGACTAGACAGATTAAGTACTAAAGGAATAAGCATGTGTGTTGTTTAATGTATTTCATAGAATAAAAAAAAAAATCAAGTGGCTATATCCAGGGTATAAAATACATTGTATGTGAAAGGTTTAAAAAGTACTCCAGTTTGACAAGGGTCTTATACTCTTTAGGTATTAGGAAAATATCATTACTACTTAGTTTAATGGAAGCCTATGTAATGTGTCATAGAAAAATTAATTGTTGTTTGTCACAGTTAAACCTCATTTTACCAAACTTTGTAAATGGCAGGTTAAGTAGAGATGATCTTAAGATGATAGTTTGGATTTATATTTAGAAAAACCGATTAATACTAAATCTGGGGAACTCGGAGCAAATTCTAAGAGAGATTTGACAAAGAATCTTGAAAAAATACCTTAATTTAAATAAAAATGAGTCACCAGCCTCTTAACTTATCTCCAAAATACTACCATATACATAAACAAAGATCAACCAAATCAAAACACTTCAATTATGTGTATTATCCGGTAAGACGAGGTTCTACAGTATCACAAATATTACCAACTGACGGTACACTATATCGACTGATTTATTTCAAGTGGAATCACATGGATATTAATCCCTGGAAAAATATTACTATGATAAGAAAATGGTTTCCTCCTCCTTTGAGTAGTAAGTTCTAAGATTTCCTGTTTTGCTCAGAATAGTAAGTTCCCGGGACCCTTATAAAGTTGTGGAAGTTCACCCTTTTACATAATAATAAAATCATTTCCGAGTGTCAGTACAGCTAGAGGCAAAGATTAGAGAGAGAGAGAGAGAGAGAGAGAGAGGATGTGTACCCCTTTGAAACACACTTAAGACCTGGGATGATGGAAGGAGATTTTTCAAAGGCCAAGATATTAAGAAACTGAGGCCATAGACAACCAAACAAGCTGATAGTAAATATTGAAATGTAATATTATGTATCTGCCATTTCTGACCATGAAGCCAAGTATATAATATTATGTACTTACTAACTACTCAAAGTTTTTATATTACATTTAAAATACTTAGAAATCAGTTTATCATGATCAATATTTCTTTAACAAACTGTTTCCTCTGTCTACAAGGTATTCTGTGCACATAAATGCTCTAAAAATGCATCATTCCATAGGCAGTAACACTTCTACATTAAATTTTACGAGATCTACTATAATACTTTGCTGGCAAGAGTTACGAAGGCATACAATAATATTATAAAATGTGCTGTGTATTTTGAAAACTGGACACTTAAGGCACTAAAAGTTGAAAATCTACAGGAGGTCCCACTGACCATGACCGGCAATAAGCATCAAGCACCATCAGACCAACACATCTAATCTGTATATCCATTACACTATGTAATACAAGGATGCACTGTAGTTATCCAAGAACTGAAATTTAACCATTTTTGTTTCATAAAAATTTCTTTAAGATCAACAAAATCTCAAACATAAGTGTTATACCATTGTCTGAAGTGCCAATTAAGAGAGAGAAAAAAATCCCACTAAGATAGAAATCAATATCACAAAGTAAACTTACTATGTACTTAAATCCTGTTTTATACAGTACTGTATTGAGAGGCTAAACTTGAATATAAAGTCAATATACAGCACTTAGACACAGCATCATCAGGAAAACATATAATACCCCTCCCCCTCCCCTTAAACTCATTGATTATAAAATTTGGTTATTTTCTCCTCCTTCACTTCTATTTTTGTGCAGAATCTTCGCCCTCTGTCCTTGTCATATTGTAGGTTCTCACTCAACTGCAGCATTCGTCTCGGCCACCTGTGCCTTCATGTCGTCGTAGCTAACCAGCCCCTGCAGCACAGAGTTAAGAGAGATTACTTTAAGATAATAATATTCAGTATTTAATTACTTAAGACACTGCTTGGAGAAGATCATTCGGTGAAACAGAGGTAATGCCAGAGGTGTATAATATTGAATTTCATATAATATTTAGATAACAAGAATTAGATGGATTAATTATTGGTTCAAGAATGTTATTCAGTTTGTAAAGTACCCTTAATGTTTTTTTCATCAATCAGTCAACTAATTAGTACTGTAATAATCTCCAGTGTCCTTCAGGTGTGAATATTATCAAGAACATAATCTTGTCCAAACATGGAAAACTTATTTACTTAAAAATGTTCCAATCTATATAACAAACATACAAAAACATTCCCTTTAATTACTACTTAAAATCTTCTATAAATAATGAGATTTAAAACACTAATACAGTATTGCAAAACTAAAATTAACACTCAGTATTGGACATAATATATCTAGTACTACTGTATATTATAATAAAAACACAACTTAAACAAAGTAAACTTAACTTAAAACAAACTATGCTGGCACAAGCAACAGACTAAGCATAACAAGTTGCCCAATTACCAGACTTAAAAAGTTAATTCCTCAAGCATAAATAAATACTGTACCGTAGTAAAATCACGAGCAAAGAAATGAATAAGCACATGATGAAGCAAAGAACAGAAATCCTTAGCCACCTCAATACTAATCAATATTGCACCGGTAAAATCTATATTCAAAGACAAGCCTTCTTTAGCCACCCATCACCAGGACTACTCTACCACCTTGACGGATTGTGTGTCATATGAAGTACTGTACTGAATTTAGTGTTATATTTTTTAATCTATATTTTTTATCATTTCCACCACTCATCAGCTCAACTGGACATTTGAGGGGACTCCGGGAAACCTGTGGTGTTTGGGAGAGTCACACTGCATAGCGCCCTTCTCACTTGTATCTGGACCAAGCAGGATCCGGACCATTGACATATTGGTGGGAGAGACGCATGTTACCACTGTCTGTCACTGCTAAATTATATGTCCTTTGAGTTTGAACATCACTTAAAATACCAAAAAAGTATGTTAAACAACTACTGTACTGTGTTATAATGTAAAATATATACTGTACTGATAAGACCATAATATATACAGTTTACTGATAAGACCAGATTCACCCTGTAACATTACAGTATAGGTAGGGTATTCACTGATCAGCTACTGTACTGCACTTTTCATATGTTAAACAGTATTACAGTACATTTAAAGTAAGTGGTTTGTTCCCCTCTTGTACCTTTCTTCTTCCTGTTTATCTATACGTACTGTACTTGTTCGGGCAACTCTTTCCTTTTCCAGAAGTTACTGCTTTTAAGCACACCAGGACAGTGACAACTCTGGGTGACAAATTGGTATGAAAAATTCTTCAGCAAATGTTTTGAATACAGTATTACTTAAATCTTTAACTCAGAAGGATGTATATGTGCAAGCATAGTCAGCAGCTAATATGTCTAGGAACAGTTTCTGCATTGTTGTAATCCCTTGAATCTTGGAAGGAATAAGACAGTTAACAATATAAAGATGCAATCCTAAAAAAAAAAAAATATTATCCTACAGTTATGAAAAATATGATAATTTTCCTTTATATCTGATGTAAAACAATAATATCTAAACAGAAGCATTAAATGGTTTGATGGACAAGCTATACACCCAATTTGTCTGTTGCTACCAGTACCAACCACCGCTGTTCAAACTTGCCGACAATAGAAGAGAGGATTGTCAAGGCAATTCTAATGCAAGAAAAAACTCGATTAGATCCACTTCAGCACATTTGAAAATTGATAAGCATCTTCAATTGTAAAAACAACTCATCAGTGTAAACTATGCAATGATCCAGAGGGTAAAGAGACATTGTCTGAGGTTGGTTTGTGTGAGTCAGGCTTGCAGATAAACAGAGAGCATATACACATTTCATTTCATTTCATTGGTCCAATAGCTGCAAGTGGATAGGTTCATAATTTAATTACTACCCAAGACTATAAAGACCTCATAGATCATTAAAAGAGGGAAAAAAAAAAAGAGGACTGGCCGCATACATGTGATAATAGGATACAAACCACATAATTATAGTCATAGTGGAACTTCACTTTATTGGACCAATCATGAGGAAGGTTGGTCTAATAAAGCCATTTTTTTACAATAAACCCGACACCAGACCTTCTGCTGGGAATATTGGATGTGGCCCAACATATGAAAACGATGGTATGGATCAACCAACAGGATCATAAGTGTACTTCTCTCCTCTCAAATATATAGCCTCAAAAAACTGAGTCTGATATAGTAATGGATACAAACACAATGTTAAATCCTGGGTGTACTAAATAAAGAAATGTTCTTCAGATAATTATTGTACCGGTATCCATTTACCACCAAGGAAGTCTTCACAGAATATCACAATTTTTCTTTTTCTTTACAAAATGCCTTAGGTAATTTGGTATATCTAATGTTATCCTGTACTTATATATATCATCTTCAGGCAGTATGGGATAATGAAGCCCATACTGTCAGGATTTTTTACTGATCTAACCGAAACAGCAATATGGTTTGATATAGTGCGGTTACCGAGCAGCATTAAATAACCATCAGGGTTCGGAACTGTGCCATAGTTAGAGAAAGGTTTATGGTTATATCTGGGACTTGATTTTACCTCATGGCCGAAGAAAAATAAATAAATTTCACAAGGTTCCTACGTTCAAAAACTGTTACATGTCATTTGTCCACGTGAATAATCAGATTGTTAGTGCTGCCACCAGTTAAGTAAGGACTGCCTACATACAAGCAACTTATATCTCTTTAGAACCAAAGTACTTTCTATGACTAAACTGAAAAGCATTTGTGTTTTAATTTTCTAGTTTCCTTCCATACACTGTACCTGTATTATATCTACAATTTTGAGTTATCGAATGAATATATACAAGCCTGTGGGTCCTCGTGGGGCAGCAGATATTGTATTTCCACAATTTTGAGATCTTGCTTACTAATGGCTCAGATTTTGAGTCACCTTTAATTCCGGACTCAAAGGATTAATGGCAGAATTTCTAACCTAACAGGACAAGTTAAAGTTCCAATACTGAGAAATGTTCGTAGTATAATCCAACTTCACCTATAGTGTAAACAAAACTTAATAAACCTGAAAAACTAAGAAAATATAATCCACAAAAAGAAAACTAAAGAAAACAAGTAATAGGAAAACAACCCTCAGAGTACAGTAAACTCATAGAGTACAGTAAAACCACAGAGTACAGTAAGCAAAGTTCATGCAAAACTATCAGAACAGGTATTTAGTCCAAGTTTTATAGTCATGCTTTAGTATTGTCATTTAGGCAAATTCTGGATTATTACACCAACAAAAACATCAAAATCCTTCTGGTTGTAGAATTAACAGAATAAAAGATCTGCTGAGAAAGAACAAAATACTACTTCACTAATGTATTTTATTTGCTATTATTAAAAACTTGTGTACTAGAATATTATTACATCTTTTTTTCACTTTCTAATGTTCTAAAACTTTTACTTTGTTATATAAAACAATTATTACCATAAGACATTGAATTCGGTAACCAGGAAGACTTTTTTTTCTTGGTCATATAACATCAGATAGACTTTGTGTTTATATTAAGTTAACTCTTCAATGTTCCTTACACTAACATCTATTGGTAAATCTCACAAAATCGTTAAGTCACCATAATCTTTGTGTAAAAAAAAATCCATCTATCCACTGCAGATCTACCATTTTATTTTAAACCTAAATCCCAAAAACTATTACTCACTTGGTAATGACGAGTTATGTATTGTCACCTTTTTCTGTTGTTAAAATATAATCTAACTACTGACTATATCCCAATCAAGTCAAAACAACATTTACTGTGGTTAAGCAATACAGTACATAAAAGCTATTCCAATGCAGTTTCTCTATGTTAATATTCACAGCCCAGGATAATGTGTGCTCGATCCTGGAGTACTGTAAGTCTCCTTCGTGCAGTCACATAATATTCAGTCCAAATGCAGATCCCGAGCAAGGCAGGAGCACTACTTGGGTTCACAAACTACTAGATTTTCAGCATCACACTACACAAATAAGAACAAAGAGGATACTGAAGGTGCAACATAAAATTATCACTAATTCTAAATGTAAAATCAACTGACAGTCACACATTCCAGTAGCACAAAGAAATCGACAAAATCTAGACGAATTTAGCGACAGTAAAACTCACTCCGTCCGTTATATAATACCTTTTGTTCTATTCATTCTTAAATAAGTGATTAATAGCTGTGATTAGTAGGCATTAGTTGTTAATATGTTACACTTTGAGCTAACCATTCTAAACACATACAGTATAAACCTGAGCCTGCATTAGTGAGGCTGGGGTGAGGAGTGACCACGGGGGCACCAGTCATGTTTATGAAGTTAATCCAAACATTTATAATACAGTACACCATTTGCCTTTCATGTGCTGATGCCATAAATCAAAGAAAAAATTATTTACTGATGATTATTAAATTATTTCTTTATAATTTTTAACCATATCTCCCTGTATGTCGAGTTAACAATGGCAAGTCAAGTCTCGAGGGCATAAGAAGGCAGAGTGTAAAAGAAAAAGGCAGCTACAAACTCTTCAAACCAGCAGGAAGAAAAACATTTAATTAATATACTAACATTCTATATTATTTCAATTAGCTTCCCCATATTTAAAAAATCTTTAAATATGAAGATTTTGGAATTGAATTCTATATCCCCAAAAGCCCGAAGCTTTCTAGCACCTACACAACCTTACAGGCTTATGACTTGCTAAGCTCTACATTCAAAGTCAACTTTAGCTTTCATCTCTTTTTATTTATATTGTCTTTCTCATATACTGAGTGAAAGCCCTGTTGTAGTATGTCCACATGCACACACATACAGTACAACCTTGGAAATCCAGAAATCAGTTATCTGGAAATCTTGGAGAACTGGGACCTTTGGAAAAGATTAAATCACTGATCAAACTTTGGATCTAATCAGTCGTCAACTGGTGTTTGAGTGTGGCAGTGCTTGTTCTATAATATCATGGTCCAACGTGAACATCTCAATCTTAAGATATGTTTCAAATTCTGTAGAGTACTGAACATTTGCCAATACCTTCACAGTTTAGTTGTATACAAATGTATATTTATATTTCAGTTATAAAATATAGCCATTTGTGCCAACTTCCAAAGGCAACACCAGTCATACTTATGTTACAAGTAATATTGAGGCCAAGGCATCATACCTGTGTATCCAGATCTTCATCAACTTGGTGGACAATAATTGGTTCTACTAAATGTACTCAGCGCTCTGTAACTGTACTCAACTCGATCTGCTCAAGGCTTCTTCTCTCAAGTTTATATTTATGAGAGGTTCAAATGAAAAGTTTATTATATCTTTACAAACAGTCTTAAAACACAATACTGTACAGATGTATCTATTCCCTTTTCTTCCTATTCTCTCAGATAAGTGAAACACTCAACTTCCTCCATTCCATCCCCAACCTTGTCCTCTACTTATTTTCATCACTTTACTTTGATTATATCCACTGTTAATTTCCTCTTTTTACACCCAACTCATTCACAAATGTTTATAAAATTTCTTCCGAATTGCCCGTTACAGAATCATAATCTACAAACAACAGTTGCGTCTTGAATCACCCCCCCACTTACATCCCACCTTATTATTGACTAAACTCACACCCTCTCCGCCACTCTTGCTTTCGTCTGGCTTTCTACTCCATCCACGAAAATATAAAAACTCCCACTAGAGATCGATTATCCTCTTCCCGACAAACTTGAAGAATTTTACACTTCTTCCATAAAAACTGAACAATATCCAATTATTCTATATATTTTCAATACTTCCTACTCTAAAATAAGCTTCTTCCCTTCTTTCAGTTCCCTTCTCTCAGTCATTACATATCTTGGATACTTATCATCCTCAGTATTTCCGTTCTATCTCCCATCTTTATCATTTATTGGTGATTCCATCCATTCCTGATGTTTATTTATTCTTAAGTTCACCTTAAAGCCAATATAACTTTCTCCTCAACAATAAATTTTCCATTTTTTGGGGCTCTGACCTTATTGAGTCCACCACATCTGTCTCTCTCTCTCTTTCTCATATACTATACTGTAGTTCAAATTATTCAACTCCATCTCCCCTTGACCTCCTCTTTCATTCTTGGCTGCCATTTTCATTTATTCTCTTGGATCTCTCACCCTACCTAATTTCCATTTCTTATCTGATCATGTTAAGCATAATTTCCCTATTCTCTTTACTTTCCTTCTCATCTCCCATTATTCCTTTCTTCTTTCAACACTTTGTGATTGACCTTCATCTGCCCTTTTCTTTTTTTTTTTTAGTGAGCACTGCCAACTTCTGACCCCATCATTCATTATATACTGTGCTTAACTTTATATACTGTATATACAAATATCAGGAGTTCAATGCGCCCAATGGCTTACAGTATGACATTTAAAATCCTGGAGATTCTGGATCCTCATTCATAAAGAAACTAAAGAGTTCATTCTGCACATTTCTCTCTGGATTTGTGGCAAATGGCATATCACTATGTAGTAATTACAAATTATTTACGCAATTGGCTTCTAAAACATGACCCAAGGTTTGCGACGTTATTAGGAGGGAAGCTTTTTTGTACCGAAAAGGTTAGTATGTCTGAGGTTCCTTGGCTGATCTGGCTTACTTTACGCTCATTGGCAACTGCAACAGTTAGAAGTCTTTTGTTTCTTTTCAGGTTCTTCTCCAGCTTTGGGGAGCTGATCTTTGGCAACTTTTTCTTCTCCAGCTTTGGGGAGCTGAATTTTGTCAACCTTTTCAGGTTCTTCCTCAGCTTTAGGGAGCTGAACTTTAACGGTCTTTTTAGACTCTCCTTTAGCACTAGGGAGAATTGTTTTTTCTATGTTTTGAGACTTCTCGGCACATCTGGGAAGCTGCTGCAACAACCACCAGGTTAGTCATCACAATCTATTAAATTTATGAGTCAAATACACTTATTAGGAATGATTCATTGTGAGTTGTGATCCTCCTACAACTACACTGGCGTCCAGGAATGTGGTTAGACTTGACTGTATCATCTGTTCCAGAGAGATCATATCTGGTGTCAAAAGATTTAGTATGAGGGCATTAGTGTAACTCTCAGGTGCTGCCCTCTTAACACTACCAATACTCATACGACTCTACTGCTTACGAGTCTCACCAGTAACTTCAGGCAGACTAAAATACACATGCAGGGCTACAACACTGCTCTAATACTAATAATTATCACCGTATTTCTAGTTATAATAATGTAATCCCCTTAGCATTCAAGGTAGGCAATATTAAGGGGATACATAAGATAATAAATTTTAGCATTTCCTTGAATCTCTTCCCAACATGGAACAGAGGACCACATCTTATCCAACAAAATTCAGGAACAACACCACACCTACTTCTGCCCAGCCTAACTGCAGCAGAATAATGCCTTGGGGCAACATGCACTACAGGCAGAGCAGTTTGTAGATTAAGCTACAAGCAATACCACCTATCAAAACACAACGCACATCACAGTACGGCAAGCCGTCTAATCCACCTTCTGCAACGGAAATAAGCAAAGATATTTAGTCTTGTTTATAGATACTTAATGCTTGATTGAATTGTAATTATAATATAAATGCTGGAATAAGGAATATAGTTAACAAAATTTATACAAAGCATAAGAACTAATTTATAGTTAATACTGAATTTGGAAAAAGGTGATGCATAAATTTAGACAAAAGTGATGAGAAGGGCAGCATGCTATGTCATCATAACTTGATAATTGAAAACTAAATTATAGCTTTTAAACTGTCAAGATTATATCATTTAACTCCTTTAAAGAAGAGAAAAGCTTTAGTCCCATAGGCTTAAAATGTAGTGAAGATTTCTGAAAGGATTCCATAAGAGGCCGAGACAAAAATTCTGAATACTAACATAAACCAAGACTACGATGGAGATATAAAGACTCGCTTCTCACCCTCCTCCCTAAACATGAATAATTTATCTAAAACTTGATTATTTCCAATTATCACTAGATATTCTCAATAATTTATTTCTAAACATCTATTTAATATAATGTCACAAACTTCTCATATCTCGCTATTGATGCGTCTATCGTTAACTAAACTCGTGGAAGTCGGATACGCACAAGACGTATATTCATTTTATAAGTCGGTAAATATTTAATCCACCGTGTACCTTTTTTTATAATTTTCTTGAACTTTTCTTTTATTATCCTTGTTCTCTATGATGGTAAAATCCTACTTCTTATTATTGAGTAAATTTCTTATCTACTTGTTTATATTTTCTTATCAAATTTGTATTAACCTCAAGTAATGCTTTACATTTATGGTAATAACATCAACTTTATGTCAAACTTACATTTCTTTTTTCCTTTTTGAGATACTGTATTGTGGTGTATACAGTATTCATGAATAAATCCTAAACAACATTAGAAGTAAATTATATCACATAGCAAGTTGTCCTCTCTTGCCCGACTTTAGTTTCAGCCATTCTCTGCTCAATGTATAAACCTTCGCACTTAACTCTAACTGTACTTGTCGATCAACAATAAAATACTGTATAATTATGCTAAGTATGTATCCTCATACTGTATATGACTATACCCTTTACACGCTAACCTGGCCCATAAGCCACGCCTCTCCTCTATAGCTACAAAGAGCTGATTGGTTCCCCTGAGCGTCTTATCTTCCCCCAGATTGCGCATGTATAAGTGCGTATTTATGTCAACCTTTTACGATAAATATTTAAAAATTTCTATCATCCTCTCTGAAGTGCTAATGCATTGAAATCATTTGCATTTTGATAGTTCAGATATTTAACATTATTTTAGATAATAACAGGTCTGTTTGCCAATTGTGAACATATTTAGTTTGAATTTTGTTATGAACCAATCAGTTATTAGTATAGAAGAGGGGCGTGGCTTACAGGCCAGATTAGTGTGGAAATACTATAGTTCGCTACATTACGTGAATAGTTCGCTACATTACGTGAATAGTTCGCTACATTACGTGAATAGTTCGCTACATTACATGAATAGTTCGCTGCATTACGTGAATAGTTCGCTACATTACAGGAATAGTTCGCTACATTACATGAATAGTTCGCTACATTACGTGAATAGTTCGCTACATTACATGAATAGTTCGCTACATTACATGAATAGTTCGCTACATTACATGAATAGTTCGCTACATTACATGAATAGTTCGCTACATTACATGAATAGTTCGCTACATTACGTGAACAGTTCGCTACATTACATCAACAGTAGAGCTACCTACATTAATACCATCACTGTTTCATAAAAAAAATTATCTAAACATTCTTTCCTATCAACAACCTACTATACCCTTACACTACTGCTACCCTCTACTTTATACAACAAGTGATATATATAATAACTACTGTAATAAGACAAAAATTCTCCCCAACGGTGCTATTGTTGTGATAAGAGGAACACCCATCAACACCAACCTGCCACATGTCTGGGTTCCAGGCAGGGAAGATGGACGTGAATGCTGCCGGCTCCTCTCCCTGGTTGATGCGCAGGATCACGGTAGCGTCTAAGGTGCGCTCAGTTGGGTCGGTCTTAATGTAGTTCTGTAGTGAGAAAAGCGTGGCATTCATTACAGTAAGGGTTCGCTGAAATAATCCTTGATCATCAGGGTTGTGTATAAAGAACATTTAAGCCTATTGATTTGTAAAGTTTAATAGCAATCAACTGCATTTTTACTTTTTTAATTTAGATAAAATGAATCTGTTATCAAGTATGTTGCTATCTCATTTACTTACATAGAAATTTTGAAACTGAAATATCTCTCAAAATCATAAACAATGTAACCCCCCTGCATACAAAAAGTCAATAATCTTGCCTCTCAGTCAAATTTACTTCAGAAAATTTTATCTAGAGATTGAAAAGATACTATGAAAAGCACCAACCACACAAGTTATCACAGAATGTAAGATATAAATTTCCTGTTTACCAAAGTTATATCTGAAGACTTATCTCACTCACAATCGCCAAAGAAGATAAAGTAAAGTTTTCTCACCTCTGCCATTGTGAAGGCTTTCTCTTTCTCCTGGTCATCTGAACCTTGTCCCACCCAAACATATACTTCATCACCAGAGTCCAGCACCATAACATCATCTTCATTCAGATCCTGTTGGGAGGACTTGGTCTCTTAACAACAAAAACTTTAAAAATCCTAGAATATCAGAGCATTAATAAATAATCATCAAATCCAAAGCAATTTATATTATGATTGTCCTTAATGCCGATCTCTCATTATTTTTATATATCTTAAGTTGTAGTATAAATGGATTTAGACCTTGTACATATATATTACATTATAAATAAAACACATTTTTTCCAAGTATATCGCCAAATATTTTGATCACATCTTACCTCCTGGGCAAAGTCAGACATCTCATTAACCCTGAGGCAGCCAGCAGGGGAGATGGTGCAGTGGAAGAGTCTGGGGTACAGCAGGGGCCTGTCCAGATCACGAGCAGTCTGGTAGTCACCCTTGCCTCCAAGACCACCCCAGAAATCATCATCTTCCTCTCCTTCAGCAACAGTCTTATAAAATATGACAACACACTAAGCATCATGGAAGTAGGATCTTTCCACATCAAGATTTAAAAATATTAAGAGCAACATAGAGTTTCCACATCTTTCACTGTTAGTTATTCTCTCAAAATGTTATAACAGATGTGTTCTGCTACAGTGGTCATATCTATAGTACATAATGCTAGCTTTAAAACAATATATACAGACAAGCATTACTGAAAATGTGAAGACTGTACAACTACTCACCACCATGTCACGACCTGGAGACACCAACTCGACGACCTTTTCACCCATAGCCTTCTCCTCTTCACTTGCTCCCTGAGTTGAGAGAAAATCTTAATACAGTAGACAAATCTATATTATACACATATTTTCCTGTTGTACATACGAATTAAACATACAGTACACAATTTTCCCCAAATATGAGCTAAGTACTTCACACAGTATTTTGATAACCTCCTCAGAGTTTATATTCATTTTACATTAGCAAAATTAAGTTTAAACTGATGCAAACAACTTAAAATAAATAAGTTACGACGTTCTATACAAATTACAACACTGTAATTTTCGTTTAACTTCCTTCGGTGATCTTGTGTTGATATTTTTCTCTGCATATTGGAAAGTGCATTTTAATAATCCATCAGTTTATAATGATATGTATTTTCCACCTCAACACCCATTCTCTCACTAGCCCTGGCTTTTAGAATCATCAGTATGGACGATACACTGCGTTTATCATCCCGTCTATATGAGAAAATAAAACAATTGGAATACCTGGACTGTCACAAACCTTGCCAATCCAGAGGTAAGTCTTCCCTGGGGTTTCCAAGACAAAGACATCGTCGGAGTTGAGAGAGCCGGCTACCTCAGCCTGCTGGATGGCACGGGTATCGAAGTCACATGTCCCGCGCACCTGAAGCACAACCACAGATACTGTATCATGCCGTGTACAGAGAATAGGATATACTGTACTGGTAACAATGTGTCTACAATGACTTTCTTCTAGAGTTTATGTGAAACTAATTTGACAAAGTTAATAGATTATGTTGGTAGAAGGAAAGGTCTTTGATCCTTGATAATTGACTGAGTAATTTGTGCCTTAGTATCATATTTAAATTCAAATCTTATTTTTCCTTATTTTGGTGATATTTATATACAAGAAATTAGTGGTTACACATTTATATTATACCTGTATTCCCTAATTACAGTATAGTGTATACTTTTATTATTAAGCCTAGAATAAACTCCCCAAAAAGAATATGAGCAATATAAATAAAAACAAGCATTATACTGCACAATAATCCCTAATCAACAACAGTACAGTATATTGTACCAGGTTTTAATACTGTATAATAAACTTTTTCTTAAGTAAGGCTTCCATCCTCTAATTATATTTAAACTTAAGCTGGACACAATAATACTTTAAGCTTGTCTCTCAGGGTTCACTTACGCTACCCTACCCTGCCCCAGAAGACCCAACCCTTACCAACCACGGGAGAACTCGAAACTCCTGCTGTTGGCGAGTGATTGCTGTAATTCTTTATATCTTAGAAAATACATGTCTTTAAAATCCTAATACTATGTTTTTTATAAAAGACTCGGTTCTTACCCGGAATAGCCTTGTGCCGTCAACATCATAAGTGTCATGATCATGCACATTCTTGAAGCCAGACGCCTTACCGCCGAGGAAAATGACCATACGACCTGGAGATATAGACAGTGTTGATACGTGACATCATTATAAAGAAAGAAAATAAACGTGGGTCAAATTATGCCGAAACATCCTCCTCAAATAAACCAACTTCTCTCTTATCAGATATTAATTATTCACCCAAAACATCCACAAAATTTGCTGAACTTACCCTTGAAAATTCTGAGGAAGTGTGCCGGCTCATACCCCTGAACAACACGAACTTGAACAGCCTTGCCACACAGTTCATTATCCAGGCGGACAGTGTGGATGGCTGAAGAGGCCTTCTCGTCCTGGCTACTGGCACAACCCTAGACAGAAGGAAATGATAACTGATAAGAGATAAGGATACTAGAGATGACCTATGACGGTGTGTCTAATGAGATAGAACTTGTTTGGTATATCAGTCTCATACAAGTTTTCCTGAATTCTACCTTAATGCAGATAAAACACTTTAATATATACAGTACAATACACAACAAACACACAATACTTTATTCGTATATAAAAAGATTAGAACTAAAACTACAATAATTTTCTCTACAGCTCATTGATCAGGTGAAAGGAAAGACTGTTCTTACCTGCCAAAAGTAGAGGATGTAGCGTTCGTTGCCGTTAACCTCATAGATGTACTTCAGGACGTATGAATCACCACCGAAGAAGAAGCCATGAGTGCTTTCATCCACTGGTTCAAGCTCAAAGTTCTCAACGCGCCAAAGTTCCGTCTAGAACGATACATGCGGAAAAATTAGCCAAATGTACATTTAAACATTTTAACTGGTGTGTGTGTGTGTGTAACTTGAGAGGTGCCGTAGAGAGAGTTATATTTTATACATGGTAATAAATATAAGAGGTTTGAGGGATGTAATAGGTTTTATGGTTTCAAAATCAAGACAATTGAAGATTTTTGTGGAAATTAACTAAAAATATTCAGGAATCTCTCCATAATTTACCCAAAGAAAATTAATGAAAAATTTGCATTCATTTTCTTTGGGTGTAGTTGAATAATTACTTAGATCCAAATTCACTAATGTTGTGTTCAGTAGATGTAATACAGTATATATATATATAAATCAGTACAGTTTATATAATCTTATGAACATTATTTACACTCTTCATTGGAAAAAGACAATGTACCAACCTTGCCAGAACCATTATCGGGCATAAAGCCAAAGGCCGGACCAGCATTCTTCTGCAACAAACGGCGCTTCTCTGCATGCAAGGAGCTAACGTCGAAGTCTGTCTCTGTAGCAGACACTGAAGAGGGAAGCATTAGTGTTAGGGTATGTGCCAGTTTGGCAACAGTGTATGGGTCCACCAACGGCGGCCTAGTAAGTTTAACAGTCAGTTCCGGCTCAGCCTCAAGCTGTGTGGACATGTCTGTTCTCCCTGGTCACCTTCACTAATAAACAGACTGATGTGTTATGCGTAATTGGTTAAGTGCTCTACATTATACTGTTTGAAGTTCTCTTATATTTCTTTTGTTATGTTATGTTTATTTGTGTGAAACCAATTCCTGTTTATTCTGTTTATTACAGATCTATGGATACTGATGTTGCATTAAGTTGAGTAAAGCCTCCCAGTGCTTACCTTTGTTTTCATAACACAGACTATGGACGCGGCCTTTCATTGTCCCCCGGGTTCGCACCCTAACATGGCGCAGTGTACTTCTACGGGTGGCCCAGAGGGAGCATTGCCGACGTCTACAGTGGCGTTCCCAGACCAGCACCATCGGAGCGGTGAGGAACGCACTCCACACGTGGTCGTCAACGCTGCCCAGTACCATCGCCACAGAGCAATGGCGGCTTACACGGTGTTGGAGCCAGTCTGTTGTACCCTGTGCTCCAACAGCAGGCCCAGGCATGCAGGGCACTCACCTGCCTCGCCGGTGGCCCCGGGCAAGGCTCCCACCGAATTCAGAGCCTGGGCATTCAACGTCGCCACCTACAGCTATGGATGCAACTGGCCACAGGCTCTGACAGCAGGCTACGTCCGCCTTCTGTGTGACACGGAGGTGCAGCAGTGCATTGACGTGCGAGTGAACAAGTATGTCTTTGATAACTTGACCGTGGAGGAAGCCTTAAGGGCTGTAGAAAGTGTTGTTGTATGCCCAAAGTGCATTGTGGGTGCATGGGCAGACTTTTTCGCATACACACAAGAACCCGGCGATAACGTATCCAGGAATGTAGTGAGGAGCAGGTTGAAGGCTGTGGAGTGCAGATTTCAGTGCCCCGCATGCGAGTCTAGCTTGGACGACTACATGCTAGAGAAGAAACTAGTGATGGGCTCGTTAACCCCAGTAAGTGTTGCTCAGGCTCCCACCTTTGAAAGATTTGGGCGACGTTATAAGTGCATGTGAGGTGCATGAGTTAGCGGAGAAAACCGCTTCCATGTCGTGTGAGGGATCAGTGGCGGGCGCCGGATCCCGCCACTTTTAACCAGTGACGCCGTCGCCTAGCAACGCCGGTACTCCTCGCATCCAACCTCAGTGACGTTGCCAAACGTGCAGACACGACAAGTGTGCTGGCAACCAGAAGTGCCCCGCGCTGCACTTAGCCTGTTACAAGTGCGGCCTGGAGGGACACCTCACATGTGCCTGTAACTCACCAGTACAACCCAGCGCCCACGCAAGCACCTCGGGCACGGCTGTTCGGGCCTGACGAAGGACACGGTCAGTTTAACGGTGTTGATCAGCAGCAGCGGGGCGGAGGAGGGACGGCAATTGTGCGCACTCAGGCTTGACCCACAACACCTGGACGGAGCCCACGGCACAGTAAACCACAATGCCGGAAGGGGCGTGAACATACTCGGGAACAAGGAATGCCAAGTCACCGTGGGACGCGCCACAACCAGGACACGCCTGTACCTGTCTTTGTCTGTGTGCAGAGGGCTTGGCCTGGTGCCGCACAACTTCCCCATCGTACCTACAGTAGTCGGCGCCACGGGGTTCATCGAAGAGGAGCCCAGACCCCCTGTCTGACCTGGGTGTTGGGGTATGTGCCAGTTTGGCAACAGTGTATGGGTCCGCCAACGGCGGCCGCGTAAGTTTAACAGTCAGTTCCGGCTCAGCCTCCAAGCTGTGTGGACATGTCTGTTCTCCCTGGTCACCTTCACTAATAAACAGACTATAAACGCGGCCTTTCATTGTCCCCCTGGTTGGAACCCTAACAATTAGTTAAATCATGTGTCAAAATTTCTGTATCTTAACCATGTATTCTTTCAAATCCATATACATTACAGGCAGTACAGTACTCAATTAGTGAAGGTTTGGTTTACGAAAATCCAAATTTATGATTTGACTTACGAATGAAAAATCCAAATTATTTTTTTTCTTCTTTGTCATTTTCATAATAATTTCCATAGTAATAATGAAAATATACAAACATAAGGCTTTTTTTACTACCATTATGCTTACTTTATATCTCTTATTTCATTATTTTCAAACACTTATAATGTTATTAAGTCCACAAACAATCCTTCAATGCGTCATCAGTTTCCTACAATCACGATAATGTCATTTCATTTTCAAATTATGTTCTTCTTAAGCTCAAGCAGATCAATTGAAAAATACACATGCATGTAAAAAAGACTCGGTATTCTGTAAGCTTTATATCGCAAAATCACACCAACACACTTCTTGAGGAAACATCATTAAATACCTACACACAATCGCGGTAGATTATCCTCATACATCTCGACACTATCATGGTTATATAGTAATGATGCAACGGTGCTACTATAGAGTTCGGTCTACACGGCTATCCCTGCCCTACCCTACCCTAACCTTACCTAAAAATATTAAATCACTAAGAAAACTTTGATAGTACACATTCTAAAGCAGAGGACAAATTGTAGACTGTTGTGTATAGTGTAAGTATGATGTAGACCACACACTATAGTAGCACTGACATAGCTAGTTACTGTGTCTTTATTATTTGTAGATATCACTAAGCAAATCAGATCCGTTGTGGTTTACAGAAGAAAACCAAATGGATTTTTATGGCTTTTGTTGTGGAAGGGAAGTAGAAAAGCAGAACACACTTTATACAGCAGCAAGAATATTGTAAATGAATGACAATGAATAGAAAATGTGTGTAAGTTTATTCACACACTTGTAAATTCAGGCATCCAACAGGAAACAGGAAAAACTTTGGGAAAAAATTCGAGCTTAGACACACAATTTCAAGCAAAGGGAAATAGTGCATTCGTTTGATAGCCAAGCCAAATGTGTAGGCTTCTTTAACCTTTCTTTTGTTGTGTGTGTGCTTTTTCCAGTGGGTGGTGTGTAGTAGTGGTGTGACTGCGGATTCCACATGCTCTGCCTTGAGTTAAACCTGGGAATTAGCAAATTATATGCAGTACTAAAAAAATTATACAGTATATGCCACCACAACAAACCAAATGGGATGAGATGTGAATATTTAATAAAGCCAAACTTTTAAGTGTAAAAAAAAAGATGAAAGTACCGGGTGTTAGTTACCGTATTTGCCGGCGTATAAGACGAACCCCTATTTTACAAGGATATTTTATGGAGAAAAAAAATTTAGTACATTTCATCATACATTTATTGAAAGTGATTTTAAAGTGGTTTTGTAGGTGAAAACATATGATTTTGTACATGTAAATACAATATACGTATACCGGAATTAAGTAGGAAATCATATATAGTAACATTATACTAACCCAACTCTACCTCTGATCAGAGCAGCTGTGTGGCTTGTTCATATTTTGGTCAAGAAAATTACCGACAGGATGTGAAACTTGTATTTTTGGCTGTGATGTTTTGTGTTGCCGCGATCTACCACCAGGGTGCAGCACCATCGCTATTGTTTTGGCGTCATCGACTCTTTGCAAATGGCTGACTGGCGGCAGAACTTTCTGTTAAATTTCTTTAATCTTTCTATGGTCAATATTCATTTAGATAATAAACGAATGTTTCTTAAAGGTAACACAGTCCTTAAATAATGTAAGACATGTATCTGGTGTGGGTTACGTATGCTGGGGAAGGAGGTACAGTGAGATGATGTGAGCTTCCCTCTGCCGTAAACCCCTACGCACCAGGCTAGGGTAGCGACGGCCGTACCCCCCACGCGGGGTAAAACGAGAAAAATATACTTTTCCCCAATGTTTTTTTTTACCTTTATAAATGATAAAACAATAAAAAAGACGCAAGAAAAACTATACATTGTCCCTCTATATTCTTCCGTGGCTCCTCAGTGACGAAACAAATAAGGGGAATGTTTTTTTTTTCGTCGAGCGCTCGCTGTCACTACACTCTTAAGGGTCATTTTCCTGCTTGCCTTTGTGTCCGAGATGGCCAATAATGCATATATTTACTGATCATAATACTTATTTCCTATAAATAATCCATTTAGAATTTATTTTATTTGCATTACTCTTCATAAGAAGTTCTCAGCGACACACACACACACACACAGTCAGTCATCAGGCTTTATGTTTGGGAGACCACGTAGGTCATACAAATAATTATCGGAATAATAATTCCACAAATAAATACATTTATAACATAATCATAGTATTATTTTCCGGTAATACTACACTACAATAAAACTACACTACTTTTAGCAATATTACTTTGATGCAACATAACAAAATGGGCAATGAAAATGAAACAAATAAAAGTAGGTAATTATGTTCAGGAAGCTTCCCTGTGGCCGAGCGTGTGGCGTGACAGGCAAATAGTCACACAGGAACCTGATAACCCGTGCTGGGCATTTAAACAGTGGTGGGAAAAGGCGTGCATTCTGGAACATCACCCAAGGCCTAAGGGTTAAGCCTATGTAAGCCATTATTTACAACTTCAACAAATTTGCCGTAAGTTTGTGATAATAGATTGTGATAATTTGTAACAAAATTTTTTGTGCTTAGTGGACTACTGCTCGTCCAAGACTCCCTAGCTAGGCACTTTCGACTACAGTGCTCGGCCTCCCATCTGTAGTATGGGCGCATTAGACGCAGGGTAATTTGTGACACATTCAAAAAAAATAAAAATGTGTCTTATACGCCAACAATACGGTACGGTAAGCTGTCAAACCAATGAAGAAAAGTATCACACATAAAGATATCTCAAAATTACAGTACTGTACAGTCATTTCTGCTACAACACGTGTTTTGTCAACGCGAATTGGTTGTAACGCGATTGATGAATAGGGGAACACTGTTTGTAAAATGTGAACTTTTGCATACTAATTTTGGCTATAACATGATTCAATCCTCAAGGTTTTGATTCCATCCTCAACGTTTTAAGCGTGGCGTGGGGTTATGCAATGTTTACAGTTCACATTCGACATCACATGTTCAATTGATTCATGTGTTTTGTTTGTGAAGTGTTTTTTGAGAGGTACTCTGTAAATTTATTTATTTATTTTATTTATTTTTGCTAATTTAGCTGTTACCCATAAATACTGTATGAAAAGAATAAGTAAAAAAAGAATGTTTCACAGTGCGGACTAATAACGGTTTACACCAGAGCTCTCTGTTTACATCACGTGATCAATTGATTCGTGCGGTTCCTGTCAGTTGCTCTGTGAAGTGTCCTCCGTGATTTTTGCTTGTTTTCTCCAATTTTGTTGTGTTAGCGATGAATATGGAAAGACGAGGTGAGAAGAATGTTTCTAAGAAGCATTCTGTTGATTGAATTTCTGGTGGTGAATGTAAAAGAAAGGCTATAACACTATTACTGGAACAAGCTTGAGTGCTAACAAATCTGTGAGATCATGGCTTAAGTAATATGCACCTAACCCCTTTTTCTCCATAAGCCATTATTTTTATTGCGCGAATTTCTACAACGCGAGGTTTCACAAGAACGCAACTATTGCATTATAGCAGAAATGACAGTACAGTACACACTCAGCCTTATGCACACACACAGGTTCCTGAAGCATTATTCACTAAAATGTGAGGCTGTGGAGCAAGGATGATGGTGAAGGAGGTGAAGGAGGGGAAGGAAGGGGAGGGGAGAGGGTTAAATTAGTAGGTATCAACTTAAATAATGAGTAAAACACACACACTAAAAAAAGGCCAGTTAATTACCACATCCACAGAGATTACAGCATCACCCAACACATTACAGAGTTCCTCCTATCTGGCACCATAACGATGTAAACAAACTGTGGTAAGGTTAGTGCTATGAGTTAAGATGATGGGCTCTGTACCTGAGTAATGTTAGAATAAAGTCATGTAAACAAAGTGCTTACCGTGCCCACAGCTGTATGAGGGGGATGTTTGGGTGGTGGTGTTGAGTCAGAATGTGGCACAGTATCACCCACCTCACATAGTCTACATAAACATCATCGTATTTGCACTGAAGGGAATCAAGTGAATTCAGGTGCCTATTATACTCATATGTTATATAATGAAAGTATAACCAACCTGCAGACATCTGTCGCTGGGTAAAGACGCGACCAAGTCCAATTTGTTCTTGAGGTTCCCTCCATGTCTTGAAGTAGGCCTTGAACACCGCTGGCTCAGCCTTCTCAACCACACGCTGTACGTTCGTGTATGTGGGATATCCTTTCTTCTCCATATAGCCAGCTTAAAGAAAAAAAATATGATGAATAAATCTTTGCTATCATATCAAGTGACAACTTACATATTTATCCTAGAAAAAAAGCATTGGATGTTCATATGTTGGTAAATGCTGACAATTACCTTTATACAAGTACTGCAGTTAAGAGTTTTGTTGTACAGGTACTTTGAACACTGTGAAGAAAGTTACAGTAGTTACAACCTAAGGTACAAAAGGAGGCAGTGTAGCCAGCACTGCTCTATACCATATCACTTCCTCAAATAAGGTGTTCATTCACAGCTGGCTTTACTGGGGGTGAACCAAGTGTAAGCCAGTGACCCTTAAGGCTGAAGGCAAGTGCTATATCCACTCTGATGGTGTACTACCTTACACGATTCTAAATAAAAAAAAAAATTAAATACATTGAACAAACATGAAAACAAAAACACACCTAACAGTATCTTTAACAAAATCCATAAACTCTTTTTATCAAGATTCTGCAGATTTAATTACTATATAAAATCTACTTTTTCACACATGCATCCCCGCCACAGACAATACCAAACAAGGGACACCCACCAGCCAACTCCATACTCTTGACCTTCTCCTTCTTGCTGGAGCCGCTGCCAATCCACACATACACTCCAACACCAGTGTCAAGAAGGAAACAGTCCTAGAGAAACCAAAAACAAAGATTATGGACTGAAATTTTACTGTGCAAATAAATCTGATGCATGAGAATCATTTTTAACAACTCTTCCTACCTGTACCATCACATAATTATGATTTACTTAATGGTAATTCCTCTATATAAATATAGAATTTTCATAAGACTCTTCTAATCATTAAAATAAAAAATAATCATGAAATTATTTCTCTTGGAACGAAAACTAAATCTTATAACACTAATAGGACCTGTATCTATAAAACACAACCGCATATTTTTCACAATCAGATATATAAGTAAATGAAATTCTAATATATCATAAATATTAAACTACTTTATCCAAATTGTCTTAATATATTGTACTAAATTATATGTACTGTATCTGTTTACTATTTCCAGCCTTTTTGCATGTATTGTAAGGTAGTGAACACATGACGAACAATCACTCTATCACACACACACAACACATTTTAATTAATCTGTTGTCATTAGCCGATTCCAACTCCTGTTACTATAAAATCATTCTCAGTCTGGTACTACTCCTTCCATATCTAGTGTTACTTCACATAACCCAGCAACAACCAAGAATCTCCTCTCTCTCTCTCTCTAAAGATCACTCGATGCCATGATCTCTGCTCACGCACACATTTCTCCTTCCTGGTTGCCCATTCCATTCTCCTCTAGTGCATCCTTAACACCATCCTTCATTGTCTGTCTTCGTCTTTCCTTCTCCCTCCTACCACCCACAACTAAATTATACAACTATTTTTGGTATCCATTCACCTCTCATTCTCTCGACATGTTCATAACAATCTAAGCACATCTGATCAGCTCCCAGCCCAACACTTTTTTGTTCACTTATTATTTCTAAATTTCTTATAAATTTTCTTCTTTTGTTTGGCAGTATTCCATCCACAACTTCCTAAACCGGAAATCTCACTCTCACTTCCTCTTTTTCCTATAATATAACCCTAATTTCATTCTTAACCACCATATTCTTCCTCTTTTTCCTATAATATAACCCTAATTTCATTCTTAACCACCATATTCTTTTGTTCTCCCCATATTCTTATTCCATTCCTTAAAGAGTATCTGCTTGGCCTCTTGAAAAACCTGTGACAACCTTTCCCCACCGTCCCCAAACTTTCATCTGCTTTTCCTTAACTTTCTTCCACACTTATTACTTCCTTTCTACTCTCCCCACACTCCTCCATCCACACGGGAAATAGTGTAATGTAGACATATTAAACAAAGAAGTTGTACATTAAGTAGGTCTAGGCTGAGTCTATAAAAATACATTTATTTTGAGAAAGCACATCACCATACTTCACTGATTCTCTACTATACTGAAACATTATTTGATCTCCCTATTATACTAAAAAATACTCTTTAAAAATAATAAAGTAAATATAACTAACCTTTTACACACATTCTATTGATAAGATTACTTTAATACAGTCTATCAAAATGTACAGTAACATTCATTATGACACACAAATTCAATACAATAAGCAGATATATCATCCCTCATTTTGAAAATTATCTCCCAAATACCTTATACACAAAAAGGTCATATAAGAACCACCAAATACTTAAATATTACATTAATAAGCATTCCAAAATATTATTGTTAGTATTGTTCAGAAAAGAGTATGCACATTCTTGTCAGTAGAGCATCAAACAGTACTGTACTTACTCTTGGGCATAAACAAACAGGCCTTCATAGGTGCCACTAAATACCTCTAATCCCAAATCTTATCTTACACCAACATCAACACCCAGACTAAACAGGACAACAAACAAGGAATTTCAATCGCGGGACTCAAAGCTGCGTTTATACCGACAGGGTTAATATTTTATCCGAGAATCCTAAATGATTAGGGTACTAGATTTTAGGATGTGCAATAAACAGAAATCTACAAATCAATAGGAATAAAAGTCTGATTATTGTGAAGCACATATATAATCAAACTTTATATCTATCTTCTTTTTTTTTGGGGGGGGGTCCTCTTTATTGCACGTCCAAAAATATTGTAATAATTTAGGGTTGTCTAAAAAAAAATAAAAAATAAAGTACCCTGTATAATAAATGTCATGTTAGAAATACATTTTATTCTGATGAACTTTCCATGATTGTTTCCTGGTTATACAAGACATAAAAAAAGATTAGAAAATACAATACCAACGTAGGCAAAGCATGTTAACCCCAAGCTTTCTACTACACCATGTTAGTTCTACAATGCACCAATATAATTTTTAACCACACGAAGGAATTAAAAAGTCAAAGCAGCGAGGACAGATTAATTCCGGTATGTATCTCAAACATAACGAGACTCTGAGCCATAGCAAAGTGCCGATGTAATTTTCGCTGTGCCTACTCGTCTTCTAAGAGTTGAGACGGAGCCTAAGATCATTAAGCCAACCAGGATGTCTAATTGTATTGGCAGAACAGCAAAATAAAGTTTCCTAGTGAAGAAATATTCAAGAACTGCATGCACTCACTATAGCATTTTGGAAGGATATATAGTAGGATTCAAAAGTTATAGTACAGTATTAATGAAGTAGAAGAATACAGTAACTAAATACAGTATTCAATCTCTGGAAAAAATGTTTCTCTGTGCTTGAGAAACACAATAACACCAAAATTCTCTTCTATTCTCTTAAACTTAGTATTAACTATGAATGGGAATGCATTTACCCATCAAAAAAACTTAAAATTCATAAATGATTTCCTAACTTCATATACAGATATACTGTTACATTAGAGTGAATGGCCTTTATTGAGTAATAAATAGTACGGTAAACATAACACAATAACAAACAATAATACTATGACAAATACGTCAAGACAGCCTCTCAATAACAGCACCTTAATACAGTACCGTCTTTCTTGAAACCATTTGACTCGAGATAAAAAACATGATAGTTTTTCAAGGCAGTGATTTCTTTTTAAAGGTATCAACTCAGTACATTAACTCACTGTCTCTTCTAAGATCAAATTGCATACACTGTCTGGAAAATTGCATTATACTGTTTGACTAATCGTTGGGTTAACAAATTACTGTACATAGTTCAAAATACCATAACCAGATCACTTGGCTGCCAGCATATGGTCCACAAAACTTGCTTATACTGTGACTTTACACACACGTTGTATAGTACTGTATTGGCAATACGCTCAGACATTAACCAAGTCTTGGATGCAGTAGACAGACTAAAACTCCACAACCTTGAAATTTGTTTATAATGTTTCATGTTAATTAAATCACATACATGTATATTGTAATTAAAGTTAGAGGTGATTTTCTCTCAAGACACCAGTTATCAGAGAACAGTAACACAATAAAGCATATCCACCATCAAACCCCACAACCTCCATTGATGTATTTCTCCATAATACAGTGCTGGTGAGAATACACTACCTTCATAAGCTAGCAGTATGAGTATATTTTGTTAGAATGAAGAGAAAGATAATTCTCTTTTATACACAAAGCTACGGTAACTAAATAATACAAAAAATTCTAAAAAAATATAGAAAATATAAATGAAAAAATAGGAGGTGATAATAGACTGATAAACAAGAAGCAATATGCATTACACTGTGCAAGCTTTATACTCCACCATACATAATGTATTTACCTTGTCATCATCCTGTTGTTCGTAGCGAGGTATAAAGCCACAATCAATACGTGTGTTTAAAATTGGTGAGGGAACAAAACAAATTAATAATTAATAACCATAATAAAATTATTAACAAAAGGTATTATGGTAATTTAGATAACTGTTGGGAGGGAGGAAGGAAGGTTTGGGGGAAAAAAATGATGGGAACATTTAATATGAAGCAGGAACGTATCAAAAGCTCGGGCACTCAAACACAGTACAGTCGGACAGCTGCCAATAAAAAAGAAAACCAAAATACCAATCTCATATCCTAGCAGTAAATAAAACCATTCATTACTGCACTCTCTGTTTTTGTGATTACCGTAATAATGTCAATTGAGGAACATTTAATAAAAATTTCTGAAAACGAAAAATTTTAATCTTCTTTTCTATTTAATGGCTGTCTGCTTTAGGCCATTTGTTAAGGGATAAAATAACTGAATGACTTGTTCCTATTTACTTAGTGGAATGTTCTTAAATTGTGAAAAATGTAACAACTGTCCAACTACTTTTGATAATTCTTTCATGATCTTCTGCCTCAAAAATGCTTCAGATATAACAAAATAATAATCTGTAAAAACTTAACAAAAGCTTCAATAAGCAATGCTTCAATTGATCAAAGAAACACAAAAATCCTAAAAAGCCAAAAATTCATAACATAAGGCAGCCAGTCCTGATCTGTCTGCAAGTACCAATTCACACATTTTAAGCAATAACCCTTTTAATGATTTTCTTCTAGAGATTTGGATAAAATATTTGACAACTGACACCAAAAAAAAAGCACAAGATATGTTTCTCATTCAACAGTAACACTTGCTACTCAGAGCAGTCGTTAATATTTGCTAAACTGGTGTGTTCTCATCCCAATACAGTACAGGTAATAATGGTACGGTAGTAATAATACACAAACCTAGTTACTTGTACATGTTAATAACTATGTAAACTCGGCTCTAATCTAAATCTATACCAAACTTTCACTGTGGTAAAGTTTTCCATTAGTTCAGTATTATCAACACAGTCTTTCCTGTATCCTATCTAACATGATACTTTATCACAGGTTATGAAATCAACACTATTTTCCACAACTAAACTCTGTCCAATGGCATAATGAGATCTGCTTTCCAGACATAAACTATCAAATCATAAACAGAAATCAAGACACTGAAGATATGTAAAAAAAAAAAATTAAAAAAAATTGCGAGTTCTCAAAATTTTTCAAACGTATGTACAGTAGACTTGACCAGTAACACAGCCTGGAAGACCACAGCTATGAGAAAACATGGTTAATATGACACTACTGTAGTCGATGCAAAGCTCAGCATAGCAAGGTAATGAACATGCTATTGGGGATGAGGGGCAGGGAGTCTCAATGGACCACTGCCTCACTCAGGATACTCTTTGTGAATAGTGTATCTTAAGAGTTTCAAAATAGTAGCAACTTAAGTATATTTGTCATGCACAGATATACAGGATGTCCATAAATGATAACCCTGACTAAAGCATGAGAGCATACTGTTTTTAGGGTAATCATCTACTGTATGGTCACCCTGTATATGAGGACTGGGAGGTCACACTTAAGAAAACTTTAAAGATATACAGTATACTTAAAAAGATAAATGGTTAAATATATAGTGGGATCCTAAAACTGATGCCGACGATAGGATACCACGGCAGGCAGATATATATCACACACTACTCAACAATATGGAACATAGATTCAGTGACACGGTAAACATTTGACATATCTGAAATAAACTTGATAATAAATTTCTATATCTTAATGTGTAACGAATGATGCCTCGTAGCTCAATGATCCATTTGCTTATTCAAAAAATTTCCCAATTAAGAAACACTTGAGACTTCTAGAACTGTACTGATTAACTCAAAATATATCATAGAATCAGCTTTAACTCACAATATACCATAGAATCAGCTTTAACTTACAATATACCATAGAATCAGCTTTAACTCCCAATATATCATAGAATCAGCTTCAACTCACAATATACCATAGAATCAGCTTTAACTCAAAATATATCATAGAATCAGCTTTAACTCACAATATAACATAGAATCAGCTTTAACTCAAAATATGTCATAGAATCAACTTTAACTCAAAATATATAACCCACTCGGTAATCAGTTTCCACATTAGAAAATTCCAAAATCGCAATAATTACCGGTAGTTACATTATTCACATACAGTACAATATAAATTTACTGCATGCTGTACTGTACTGCCAGCTGACATGTCTGTTACGGCACTGTCTGTGTATGTTTTAAAGAATAACTCATAAACTTGTATTTTCAAACTAATTACTGCTTTCTCTTTATCTACAGCAACGAAGAACCATCAAGCAGGAACGTGTTTAGTACGCATGTGTCCTAAAGTACAGTAGTAAGACTCATTAAGCCAGTAATAACAAAACGTGGATAGAAGTGGTGGCATTAGAGAGAAAATGTCATCGTCAAGAATGTTTTATCTACAATGTGACGAGAGTAGATTAGACAAAACACTTTCATAAGCTAAATCATGTTTATCGTAAAAATATCTTCTATACAAGGCGTATGCAGTGATAGTGTTAAGAAACGTGAAAGGATGTCCTGTCAAAATTTACTCAATGTTTTATCTACTTTGTTATGGCAGTAGACCGAGCCAAGCATTACTGAAACCTAAATTACTTAAAATTATGTCTACTGTAAAAAATATCCACATATTTACAGTCTTCCCACAATAAAATTGATCGAATTTTATGTGTAACGGCCAAATATGAGACTAAACTACAGGGCCGCCAATTTTAATTTTTTATCAGCCAATAACTTTCATTCCGTGATACTGTACCGGTAAGTCTAGTAAAATGGTACTATGTAAATTTAAGATTTGACTGTACAAAAAACAGACCGAGATGCCTTGAGATTATGAAAATATTTAATGTTGTTGCCCAATGTTCACTGTCCTTCTAAAAGTTTCTAACTCTGATAAGTACCAAGAGTATGATGATGAGTGTGAGGAGTAAACAAAAGTATGATGATAACGATGATTGTGACAAGTACCGAGAGAAGTAACTACTAATAAGCCATCGTCACGCTCCCCATGTAGTCTTGAGGTAAAAATAGCGGTGCATTACATTTCAAATCTCTAAGATATACGATAAAATACGAGCAAGCAACGTCACTGTTACCCTATACAGCTGAACAACAAAGGTTTATATCGATGATCTTTATTTAACCCTGTAAAAAATAACTTTCTGGATCATGATTTTTATACAATTTTGGTTAGGTTAAGTGAGAAGTTGTCTGCCTTTATTATATTTCATTGTTTCAAACTTAATAATAAAAATGTGTTGGGGGGAGGGAGAAGTTGAGAGGAAGTACAGTAATAGGAATTATTTAGTTGCACTCCAAACTATTATATTAAAAGCTGATATAAAGTACAACCTCCCTAATGTTCAGCCATCACTTGAAAGCAGAAACTCACGCTAAAAGAAAAGCTTCAACAACTGTTAAAAGCTTAAGAGTACTGAAATCTTCCTCATTATAAATATTCTATACAATAATGTAATTCTTCTGCAGACTACAATGTCCACCACTTTCTTGTAACTTAAAAACCTTACTTTCAAGATATTTATAAAAAAAAAAATCTCATTCTATAAATTCTAACTAACTCAAGTGGTAAAATCAGGAGTCATACTTACACCAGAGTCGAGCATGGACTGCAGCAGAGGCTTCTCACCAATCATGTTTGTCTGAATAACACCATCACCATCCTCAAAGATGTGATGCAGTGTTACCACATTCTGTTGACACAATCAAATATAAGATCTTTTTCCAAGTCTGAAGATTTATGAACTAGAATGTATTAATACTGTATTGTATATATAATCATATAAATAATGCAGTGTTGGGTTTAATAATGTCACAATAGTTGTCAAAACAGTGATGGTATAAAGCAGAATCATAATTAGGATTGATTCTACTGCCATGTGTCACCATACACTTGATGCCAATTTTAGCCAAATAACTACAGTAGTTAAATTTAATAATGGACAACTTTGCTTGATTAAAATTTCCCCCAAATTAACTGATTAATTTCAATGCATTACAAGAGTAAATGTTGTAGCACAGGCGCCCACTCACCACTTCAGACCGCTCAAAGGCAGAGTCATCAACACCAGTATCTTCATCAGCGACGTCATCAGGGGAACCACCACCTAGGCCAGAGAAGAACTCCCCTGCCTCACTTCCTGATGCAGTTTCATCTGAGGAAGGCAAAATAATAACAATGAACAGTGATATTCTCTCTCAAAACCCAGCTACACTTTGCAACAGCTTGTCTTGGCAGGAGAGACAAGTAACACATAATTAAATAGCTGGTAGAGTGAACTGGATACATTCTACATTATAAAGGAGAATGTATAGAAAGCAAAGAGAATGTCACAATTATACAGCTAAAAGTTTGTGTTAGTTTAGGGGTAAAAACATCAAGAAATCTTTGAATACCTGAACAAAATAAGTCATACTATGTCTAATGTGCTTTTCCCAAGACAGAGGATGTAACATGATCCCTGAGTATCTACATTATTCAACATATTTCTCTTAGCATATTTCCCTCACACACACACTTCCCATAACCCTCTTTCCACCTCCCCTGCAGTTTTTCTCAGTAACTCCATTCACGCAGTCCCTCATTTAAGTAATATTTTTTTATCCATATCTTTACAGCCTTATATACGATTTTAGTTTTTTTTCTTTTGTACTAATTCCTTCATACATTATATTCGAGAAGAATCTTATAGAAATAGGAAATTTATAAATGCTTAATTATAAAAAATTCATGAATGATAAGTTACAATAACAATTAACAATAATCTTATGCCTAATTATAAATATTCCAATACCAAACTCACAGAGACATCTAGCCTGTTATCTGCATTAACATCAATCATTGTATATGTACTAATTATCCAACACAGGTTCTTTTAACCAGACATCCCAGAGAACCGAGGACAGAGGAATCAACTGGTGTATTGTACTCACCAATAACAATGACTTTAGCCTTTCCAGCATGATCATCGTCCCTCACAGCATTTGCCGCCTGGATGGCCTTGAGACGCTCCATCTTCCTGCTGCTTGGCCCCATGTATGCATAGACTTGTGAGCCACAGTCCAGGATGAAGCAGTCACCCTTGTTCATGGATCCTACACCAACTTCAACCTATAATACAATTCAAGCTTTTAAAATGTGTATCTTTAATTATTATGTTACCTCGATAAATTAGTTTATGCCCAAGCACCCAGAAACACCATACTACAGTAACAGGTATAGACAAGTCACAAGTCACCTATACTGTAATTCTACTTATATACAGTGGGGTATGCTATAACGAATGGATTCTATTACGAATATTCCTATAACGAACGGTTTTACTTATAAAATTGAGAATGCTATAACGAACGAAACTCCTACAACAAAATTTTTTTTTCTTTTGTTTTTTTACTAATTTATTGTTTTTTATTACAAGTATTAATTATATTCTTTATTTCAGGGGTTTAGATGCATATTTATGCACTTTTTTACAATTTTTTTCAATTTTATATTATATTTTTCAGTGTTAAGTGGTTGTATTTGGGGGCCTGGAACGGATTAATCCTATAACGAACAAGGTTCTAGAACCAATTAGATTCGTTATAGCATACCCCACTTATCTTTGTTTCTTCAGGGTTTATAATAACTTTTACACTCAAAATATATCTCAGATAACGATCACAACATCAGTGTATAACACCAATATCAAACTGTAATTTCCAGTATGGGAGTTTTGCTATACATGTACTGTGTATGCTGTAGTTATACGAACAAGACAAATTAATGAACCAACCTGTCTGATACGGATGTTCCTGCGGCCCTTGACGTGGAAGAGACGAGCAGGGTAAGGTGCATCTGGGTCCACGTGATGGAAACCAGAGGCCACACCCCCCTTCAGGTACCTCACCCCCTTCTTGAACCTAAGAAAGACAACAATTGTTAATAATCTCTTGCTCTTCAGCCAAACATATATATACTATCTTATTTTACTTCAAATAATCCACCATTTACCGGAGGATTAAACAGTAATAATTATTTCATTTTATCTACCTTTAATAAGTCAATTTCCAAACGAAATATAAAACTTTGCACACGTTGAGCTTCAAAAACCCAGTCTTTTCATCAATATATATATATATACCAGTACTGTCTAGATATAAATCTTATTAATGTTTTTGTAGAAATTCATATTAAAAATTAACAACAAACTGATAATGAAACAAAAGAAATTCATAACTTCACATTATTCTCGCTCGTCACACCAAACAGATCCTTTACAACACAAACCACGATGTGTTCTCCACCACACCGCTTACCTGGAGAGGAAGAGGGAGGTCTCGTGGCCCTCCACCTCTCTGTGCTGGACAGGAACACCGCCCAGCTGGTCGTCCAACTCCACCGTCTTGATCGCTGCTGTACCGGCTTCATCCTGATATAGAAAGTACACTCAGCTAGTTAAACCAATGAAAGAGGACAGCTAGTTAAACCAATGAAAGAGATCAGCTAGTTGAACCAAAGAAAAAGGACAGCTAGTTAAACCAATGAAAGAGGAACCATGAAGTAAATATGGGAGATGCTTAAAATATGTTCAAGCTGGAGAAAATTTTGTTTTAATTCAGATCATAAAAACGTTGAGCCCATGTGATAATTCTGTGATATACTGTAACTTATTATATACAGGTACAATGATGATGATGGCTCTACCTGTATGTGAATACTGTACGAACTTGTGTTAAGCAATTACTCTTCATTTATGACTCTTGCGTTTACCTCTATTACATGTACAGTAAGTACTATGGACAGCTTTACTACTGTGGTAATCTGAAAATTCTTTGACTACAGTGAGCAAACAGACCAAGAAATATTTACGTCACAACATATGCCAATAATATCAAGAGGAAACACCGGACTTACCTGAGATGTTTCCGAACCTAACCAGAAGTGCAGGTCCCAGCTTAAGTTTCCATTCACATCTCTTGTCTGGGGGAAAAAAGTTTATTTAGAATGAGAAATGGAAAAAAAAGTTTATTTAGAATGACAAATAGGAAACAAGAAATTAAATATAAAAAATATTTACTGTACTGAATGAATGTGGAGTACAGCATCTAGATTATCATTGATCGTAAATTAATAATACTGTACAGGTATTAACATGTAATATAAAAGTACTATAAGTTAGTTTTACCTGTATATACTGATTTTATGTAGGTCTCTAAATATTCCCAATACAATAAGACTTTGACAACTATCCCCAAAAACTAATAATACAATAATTCTATCTGGGCAAACTTGGCTCGAGTGGCTGAGAGGGAGGAAAGGTGTACTCAGAGAGGATACAGGTACTCAAGAGAGGAAACGTGTACTCACATAGAGGACGATGTAGGAATCCCCCTGGTAGAACTGGCCGTACTTTTCCTTAGGGTATGGAACCACCTCGAAGTTCTGTCGGATAAGAAAGTAAATTAAGATAAGTATAATAACAACATTACAGCCATTATCACTTTTCTAAAAACAAAGAACTCTTAAAAAATTGTCTGATGTAAAATTAAAATAAAAATTAATTGGGAAAACGTAAATTATATTATACATATAAAAAGTAGCCTAAATTAAAGTATTGAGATAGTGATTGTTGAAATTATAAAAAGTACTGTACAATTATTGAGATAGGTGTTAAAGTAGCATTTCAAAAGGATATTGTATAATGGAAGTATGAGGTTTATGTACTGTACTGTACTTATTTAGGCTTGGGTTTCCTTCCCGGGATCCTGGGCGTAAGTGATTATGTTTTATTTTCCGGGAATTTGGTTCAAATCCCGGGATTCTTATTGTTATTCCTTATCTCTGATTTGCACTGTGCAAAATACAAAAACGCAGGAAGGAAGGAAGGAAGGAAGGAAGGAAGGAAGGAAGGAAGGAAGGAAGGAAGGAAGGAAGGAAGGAAGGAAGGAAGGAAGGAAGGAAGGAAGGAAGGAAGGAAGGAAGGAGAGAGGAGAGGGAGAGAGAGAGAGAGAGAGAGAGAGAGAGAGAGAGAGGGGGGGCTAGAGCGAGTCTGACAGAAGTGACTCGTACCGTTCCTGTACACTTGTGGCCTTCACCACGTCTTCCTTGGGTACTGGTCTTAGTCGTGTTATCTCCCTGCAGAGGTGTGTTAACTGTCAGTAATCTGTCTGTATATGCTGCCAAAATGCAAGCCATGATATAATGGTGTATCTTGGCTTGCATGATACGGAGTACGGACATGTGACTCGTATGATAAATTCTATGAATAATTCTTTTTTATAATGGCTAACCTTGATGGTCATTCCAAATATCATTGAGTTTCTTTCGTGGCTAACAGAATGAGATTGACTGTTTGTGCTTCTTGAGGAGTTATTTCATGAACAACTATTGGTGTGTGCGTGACTGTGTGGCTTGTGTGCACAAATGATTTTATAATATTATTTTTTTCACAGGTCATTCAAGTGTTCGCTTTAGGTTTTTGTAGAATGTGGCTTCCAAATGGCATTAAATATAGAATTCTTATTTTTTATAATAGCTAACTTTGAATGCCATTCCAAATGTCTGTGAGTTTCTTTTATGGCTAAAAGAGTGAGATTAATTAAAATTTTGCTTGTATAATCATATTATTTACCTATTTTTACACCAGTATGCAAGTTAATAAAGAGAACTTTGCTTCAGTGTAATATAATTTATCAAATCAATTGCCTATCAAATAATCTACAGATACTACACTAATGAAGTATAGAGTTAGCATATAGCATTAGTTAGTACAAATATCACCTGATGCGGGAAATCCCGGAATGCTATAAAACCCCCAAAACAGGAAACCCTAACAGGCTATAACTAGACGCAAGCCTCTGTCAACGCTGACTACACACTACAAATAGACAAGGAAATTTTTTGATGTATATATATATATATATATATATATATATATATATATATATATATATATATATATATATATATATATATATATATATATATATATATATATATACATATATATATATATATATATATAAAGTTTTATCATAAACAGAAGCTCTGAAGACTTTTCCTCATTTAACAGGGGCGGGAAACAGCCGCTCGCGTGTTTAAATAATTACATTCATCCACTAATTACTTTAACTAATCACCAAAACTAATTACCAATTTACATTATTAATATAATTACATTCCTGGTTTATTATTTATTCTTGAAGCTCAAATTACCTTCATTTTAAAGTACTGTACAGTATGGCAATATATATATATATATATATATATATATATATATATATATATATATATATATATATATATATATATATATATATATATATATATATATATATATATATATATATATATATATATATATATACTGTATAACGAAAACTAACCTAATCTAACTTAATATATCCCAACCTAAATCCCCATTTAGCTTTAGGAAGTTGCAGTTTAATCATCAGGTGGAACAATCGAAGGTAAAGAGGTAAGTGGAAAAAAGAAGCAGAATTAGAGACATTAAAACTATAAGTAGGTAGAATATACAAGAGATAACTATGGCCAAGAAAATTGGTGACATATATTAGCTAAAAGACTAAAACACACATTCTCTCAGTCAATCTCACTCTCAATCAATCTCTCTCTCTCTCACTCTTTCGCTCTACTACACATCGGAGGGAAGGGGAGGGAGGAGGAAGAGGCTATTGATGAAGAGGGAGAATTTGGCGGGACGCTTGATGGCTGGAAACGTGGCGGAACAATACACATCCATCTCGCCCAGTCACGCCCATGGTTCCCGCCCACCCTTCCCATCTCTTGTCACGCCCCTTCCACACACTTCTATAGTCATCACATATTTCATTGTTTACCCATATAACTTACTTTTCAATCAAAAATTTAAAACTCAATAAAAAAAACCTTAGATCAATAACTTAATTTAATTCTTTTTAACCCCGTCATTTAATGTAAGGTAAAGACCAAATGTTATTTTTCTCATAAAGTTTCCCTAACACAGAATGAAATAATATATTTACGTAGCATTTTAACATGGAAGTATGGTGTGTGTCTCAGTGTATACCTCAACAATGGCGCCTCCAATTCATCTTGAGAGTGGCCGATAGACCATTCTTTACGGCTCTCAAACATGAATTGCCAGAATTTATGGTGTAGCGATTTTCGTTATCGGGTTAACCTGTGTTTGCTCCCTAGCCTTAAGAGGGGAAATTTACAACCGTAAGTTAAAATTGACACCAGCTGTAAATCTTTATCGGTGTAAATTGAAAAGCTGTTGATTGCCGAGTTTGTAAATATAGATAAGGGCGGTAACTGTAAATTCATTATCAATTATAAATGAATTATGATCACAAATTGAAAATCAGTAAATAAATGCCCAGCTTAAGGGTAAATAAAGCTATATTAACTGTATTTAAACGTTATATTACAATTTAATTCAATGATCCTTAATCTAAGATGACCGTTATATATTTTTTTTCATTGTGTTTTGAATTAGTGTTGAAAGCAATCAATAAAAACTGCAAAAGTAAACGTGAAAAATATAAATTAAATACTAAACGACTTTAAAAGCTATAATAGTAAAATATGATTAAAATTTTCTAAAAGGATAAGATGAAAATTGGAATAAAGTATAATAATTTAGCCAAAATTTTTAACTTACAGATCCCACTCAGTTACAGTACATTATCAAGAACAGTGGCACTAAGTTATTCATCTGCATTAAGAGTCATTAATTGTTGGTGAATAAATCTATATTAAGAATGAGACAAGTTGGGACAGGACAGGACGGGACAGGACGGGACAGGACAGGACAGGACAGGTCAGGTCAGTCAGGTCAGGTCATGTCCCAGTTAGCGTGTTGAAAGTTCCTTGTTTAACTTTAATGGATGACCTGGTTGAGTGACGATTATAGAAGTTATTGATTCTGTCGTAATGTGGTTGTTGTTGTTGTTGTGGGTTTGGTTGAGAGGTTGTCAGGGCTGGTAGTTTGTGGTTGTGTCTGGTAGATCGAGTGTTGACGTGAGGGCCTTGGTAGGTGTGTCTACAGTATATGGCTGTAGGCTTTACCCACTTCTTAGTAGATTGTGGTGAGGTCATATCCTGCATTATGATGCCTCCTTTGTAGAGTTCGGTGAAGAGAGAGAGGAAGGAAAGAGAGAGAGAGAGAGAGAGGAAGGAAAAAATAAGCACCCCCTCGCCAGCTTATTTCAACTGAAGATTCACTCCCTCTCTTTCAGCTGCCGCCGCTGGCTAGCCCTCGTGGCGAACAGGGAAACAACTTGCCTATGTATTCGCCTGCCAGTACACAGACTCTTCACCATGAAGACTCCTGCTGTGTCTCCTCGTGGCAACGCATGGTAACTGGGTGCCTCGTGGGCCCAGGCCAGACCAGCATCAGGCAGACATGCTTATAGAGCTCCAACAAGACCCCAACGGTGGTTTAGGCGGAAGAGGTGACCATCATGGGAACCCAATGACTACAACGGCGGATGAAGGCAATGCATGATGGACAGGCTACTAAGGCAAAACCCACCAAACTGGGCTATCGGCAGTCCACTGCAACTCTCCCTCTCCCCAGTCGTTGCAACACTTGTACCACTGTATCCCCAAAAGTCCTATGGCGACGGACGAGTGGCGACGGGGACAGGCAGAGATGACTGCCAGAAGTCTCTAGTTACAACTCTGCACATCGGCAGCACAGATAAGATGGGCGTTTATGCACTGGGATCTAGGCAGCAGTGCAATCCGGTCCTGTCTGTGCGAGTGAGCAGCCCTTTGGAGGAGCCACTCTGCTCACCCCACATGGGGAGGGAGCAAGAAAAGGTGTCCTAAACATAGCCTGCCTTAAAAACCAACCTGACTGGGCAACTGCACCCAGTAAGGTCATCCTTATGCGGTCGAAAACACAATCAAAATCACAGATCCAAACAAAAATAAACTATACAACATCTTATGGTCGCTGGATGGAATGTCCGGACCCTTCTGGATACTGGCACAAATAAGTGTCCTGAAAGAAGAACTGTCCTTGTGGAAAAAGAGCAGGGTAGGTACAACATCGACATAGCAGCCATCAGTGAGTCCCGGCTCTCAGACGAGGGTCAACTCACAGAACGAGGGTCTGGCTATACTTCTTCTGGAAGGGTAAGTCTGCTGCGGAGAGAAACCGCATTTTTGGAGTTGGCTTTGCCATCCGCCAACGCATCCTACACAGGATAATTGAAATGCTTATTAGGATCAACGAGCGCCCCATGATGCTTCGAGGCCCGCTGGATCACTCAAGTCATGCCTTTTACACCAGTGCATACGCCCCAACACTGGATGCAGAGGATGACATCAAGGAGGCCTTTTATGCCGACCTCGACAGAGTCCTAACGCCTATCCCCAGAGAAGACAAAGTTGTGCTCCTTGGTGACTTCAATGCCAGAGTTGGCAGAGAT